AAGAATCTTTTTTTTTTTTTGCAAATCAGAAAAAAATGAAGAGGCGAATCCAAGAACCAACAAATTAAATTGGTATGGCCTTATGACAAAAAAGAAGTTGACACAGTTAGAGGTGCTCTAGGGCAGAGTTCTGCCCAAATAATTTAATCAACTCACAGCAAATAACAAATCTCCATGTGTGGATGAATACAAACTTGACATCATTTCATTGAACTAGAGAGTCGACCTATCACAACGCTGTTGCCATGGTTACATGTACTGTTGCCATGGATACATGTACTGTTGCCATGGCAACACGAACTGTTGCCATAGTTACCTGGAATGGCAAGCACCAGAGTCGACGGAAAGGGCCAGAATCCAGTGACAAACGAATTTCTCTAAAACCTCTCAACGATTTTTACGTCTAGTACACAATTTGACTCCTACATCTCTCAGTAATACCATAATTAGTAATTCATCATCATCACTTAAATCTAGATTTAATTAATACAACATTTTCTTCTTATCTTTTCATAAAAATCTTGTAGACATCGACTGTGTAAAGATATCACTTTCTTAACTCTCGCTTATTAAGTACTCAGAAGGAATTTTCATCCTCGATTCCTTTCGGTAAAAGATTATACAACAAGAGGTGGGAAATCTTGCCACTGGATCCCTGGTAGAGAGGCCTTCCCCTTTCGTTTAATAGTGAGTCGGTTATTGTGGCAGTTTCTCCTAGTACATGTTTTCCATACGACTAGCCCTTGTGTGTGGAACAGAACTGATACAAGCGGGTGGTGGGTTGTATTTTCGCCCAACGTTTATCTAAAAAAGAAATCTTAATATAATTCTACAGCAGATATGACTTATTGTGATGCTACTAATTTGTTTTTTTCTGTGTGCTTGCCATTACAAGATAGGAGCAGCAGTATACATAGTACTAAGCTTTTGACTTAAAAAACAACGCTAGGTACAAAAAGCATATGAAGCTCGTGAGAAACGAAAAGCCACATTTCGGGGAGGGCACGGAAAAATCTCGTTTTTGACATTGCACAAAATCTAGGCTGGCGAAAAAACTGTCCCCCAAAACAGTATCACACAATTCAAGACTTTATTTCTTCATCATCATCATCATATATACGCACAAGTATACTGTGTCAGGGTTAGTAACCTGTATCTCACACACCACAATTGGTACATTGTATCTACATATGTCCGTGAGAATACCACGTTGTATCCACGATACAACATTCACAAAAGTTCTGGGGGACAATCTCCGGCCAACCATGTACGTACGTAGTATAGTCTTCAAATAAAAAAACGGGTGAAAAAAATTCTTCATCTTTGCACATTCTCTGATTTCCTGTATAGATACACATTTAATATACACTACACCAAAACGGTTCTTCTCTATCTGTTCGGACCTATCCAACAGTCTAAGGGATCAGAGCACTATCTATTATAGCCACACCATGATCATACTTGGTTATATAGAATGATATACAC